TCAGTCCCATCCTTTGCTCTCAAAGGAATATAGAGTAGAAGGAGTGTATAATGTTGAAGGTTTACTTTTTTAGAAAACATTTAAAAGTAGAAGTTTTTTTTTTCCTAAAACATCTCACTAAAAATTGATAATTTATTTGCTTAACTTTATTCTTATACTACTTAAACAAAAAAACCCATCTAGAAAAGGTTACCAAGATGTCTTTCTTTTTTTTTAAATATTTATTTTTTTAGTTTTTTAGGTGGGCATAATATCTTTATTTTTTATTTTATCTTTTTATGTGGTGTTGAGGATCGAACCCAGCGCCCCGCGCATACCAGGCAAGCATGCTACCGCCTGAGCCACATCCCCAGCCCAAGATGTTTTTCAACTGTTGTTCTATAGTAGACTACCTGTAGATCTATTATTTGTATTATAAATCCTTCAAAATTTATAATGTGTTATTCCATTAAGTGTTAGATTTGACCACTAAATAGCTTATTCTCTTCTTTAGTCATTTATTCAGCGATGCATTTGTTCATTAGCACATTTTTCAAGAGTTTGCTAACTCTAGGTTCCATGCCAGGGACTGTACAGGGTGGTGTGATGACTCATAAAGAAGCGCTGTCACCTTAAATCTTAGCCAGATCATGTGTAATATTAAATTAAAAAATTTTGTATTAAAAGGGTTAAAAAAGGAAATCAAGTTTGTTTTCCTTAACTATATACTGGTAAGTTTATAGGTATAATTAGCACACGTTCATAAGAGGGAAATACTATACACAGTGAATAAATGTGTGTATACAAATTATGTTCCTTCAAAATGCTTTTAGCTGTGTAAGGTGATATTGCAAAAGACTAAACTTGAGCTAATATATGACTGTTGCTGGGATAATTATTAGTATGAGTATCAGGTTCTTAGAGAGGAACTCTGAGCTGTGAGAGAATAGTTTCAAGCTGCCAAAATTAGCAACAGTGATGTAATACCACCCTGAAATATCAGGAGCAGAGGTGCCCCAGAGAGCTTCACAGTCCTGATCAGGAAACTTGAACTGCTCTGTTGCTATAGTGACAGCGTAAGGACTGGTTCAGTCCATCAGCTGGGGAAATCTGAACCTGAGAGAAGCACCCCAGCATGTGTCCTTAGGTACAGGGAGAAGGTTTTATAGAATTTCCACAGGATGTAGTTAGAGATCAGGTGGTATGACAAGGCAGGTATCAAAGATAACTTGTCCCAAAGAATCTCCTTCAGAATTTAACACAGAAAGAGAAAGTTTCCCTAGGAATAGACAATGTAGCAACAAAGTAGATGTAGCTTCAGTAAAATCCGAGTACAGAAATCTGTCCAAGTATCTTGTGTTGTATAGATTTATTAAAAATTACTTTCAGGTTCACTATTAGTTGTACACTGAATGGTATGGGGGTTGGGGAAGATACACTCTCTGCACACAGAAATGCTCCTGTCTTTCCAAGCAATAACAGGGAATAGGATTTTCAACATAAATTCCACATCCTGTAAATCCTTTTTGAATCCACATTCTGTTCCTGGACAATTTCTGTTTGACTGCCTTAGATGCTAGTCTGGATATTGTCAAAATTGCAAGATATTCTAACCCCCTCTTCCATGAGAGGCAGTTAATGAGCAGTTTTTTTCTTGGTCTCAGAGAGTAGTGTGGATTGACTCTTAACTGTGGAAACATTTGCAAATCACATTATATTGAGACCCTGTATTTAAACAAACTTTAGCTTTTGGAATTCGCAGCTGTTTATTCCAGTTAAAGGCCTGCTATAGGGCTTGCAGGTGAAGTTTTCTGACTAACCTTGGTCCTAACATGAACCCATTGTGACTTATCAGGACTATCTAGTACCTCTAGTTGCCACCTTGCTTATGTTAGTACTTCAGGAATGTGTCACTGCTGGGCTAGACTACTCAGAAATTCAGGCCATGAGGGGTTAGATTAGAGCACACTGATTTAGGTAAGCTATCTAGAACTTTCATCCTAAGTGTTTATGTGTAAAATGCTCAAGACTGCACATTCCAGTCTTGACCTTCAGTCCTCTCTGAACTCTCCCGGGACCCTTAAAGAATACTACAGTAGGGCTGAGAATACCATTTTCACAGTTGAAATAGCTTCTGGCAACATGCTTCCAAATGCTACTTTGAGTTAAGGATACATACTTTTTATTTTTATCAATCTGTTGTATTTATACATTTTACCATCAAAATGTATTCATTTCATTAACATTGATTATTGAGAATCTGAAGAAAGTATCTGAGGCCACTACACAGTTTTTTTTTTTGATAGTTTAAACATAAAAGAATTGTAAATCAAGATGTCCTGTCTAGTTACTCAAGATGTCCTGTCTAGTTACTAGAGTGATAGAAATTCTCTGCTAGAATGGGTTGCATATAATTAGGTGATCCTGTAATTTTCTAGAGAAGGAAACAAATGCCTGGGTGAAAGTGCACACACACAGTCAAGTCATGGAATTCAGAATGGAATACAGTTCCTGTTTCTCTCAGTCCATGTTCTATTTCTCTTCCTTTTTTCTCATTGTTAAGCAGCTTTTGGCAAAGTGTTTTTCTTAATAGCGATAGTTCCAAGATATGTTGATGTTATAAGAGGAAAAAGTGTGTGTGTGTGTGTGTGTGTGCGTGTGTGTGCGCGCGCGCGCACCATGCTCAAGTAACATTGAGGAATGCTGAGCTTCTTTTCCTTGGGATTTCTAAGAGTTCTTAACATGCTATGATAACATTGTGAATTTATAAGAGGAGACAATTACTGTTTGACTTTAGATTGTGCCCCCCTCCTCTCCTTTTCTCTGAGCATTGCATTTCAAAGGACTACCGTCTCTTGGGAAATACAGCTCTTGTTGAAGTTTACATCCCTAGTGGTTATACTGAATGGTGAATGTGATATCCTGCAATCATTTATAAATCTCACACTTTAGTGAGATACTAGAAGCAAGCATATTTGCCATTCAGAGCTATACTTTAAAGTATAGAGGTTCTTTTTCACTGATGGTGTGTAAAATCAGTATTTGTGTTTGATTTTGCAAGTTTTTCAAGGATCAAGTAATGTGCAAACACAGTCATATAGATATTACATTTTAATAATGTTTTGTATGGCACTTTATGGTTTTTAGACACCTTTGGGAACAACCCTGTGAGCTAGGCAGTATTATAATCATTGCAGATGAGGCACTGGAGGCTCTGAAAGGTTTTTTTTTTTTTTTTTAGACTTTCCCTCTAAGTTTAGACCACAAAAGGATGGAGCCAGAATTTATTTGCAGAACTTCTGACTCCAAGTTCAGAGTTCTTTTCTCCACACCTGATCACTTATGCTTCTAAGTTTAGATTTTACAGTGAAATGTATGGAAGCAAATCTTAGAGTAACATCATTTTAGCTTATTATGAAATACCAATTCTTTTGTACAGCAGTGACCCAGATGTGAACTCTCATTGTGGCTATTCCAGAGAAAACCCTTCTTTGTCCTTTGCAGTGCCAGTTGTTGAGGTGACTGGAGTGTATTTCAAATACCATTTGGTTGTGAAACTAAGATTGGACATAGTTGTAATTACTCATGTATTCTTTGAAAATGTATCATCTCCACATTCTCAGGCAAAAGAGAGCTTGAAAGTAAACATAGTCAATTATGACAAATAAATATTCTTTATTCTTACACAAATGCTGTTTCTTAGCTTTAACTTGTTCTGACAACTACTGATGTAACCTCTTTGTAAAATGTAAAATATTTATATTTTGAAATAAAATTACTGCTGTTGAATGGTAACCTTTGCCTCTTGTTTCTTGAGAAATTTGATCTTTAGTTGTACTACATCCATCTCTCAGGCCTTATATCCTAACTTCTCTTTTTGGCACCAGTGACCACTGAATTTTTATGAAATTTGATCAACTTGGATGAGGGAGGTATGTCTGGAGAGTGGATGTAGGGCACTTTGAAAAGATGCTAAGGGTCCCCAGCTGTGGCCGAATCCCTCATTGCACTGGGGAAATGGTTTTGTGATAAAGAAATGGTGAGGTGCATGGCTGAGCTGTAGGAATTGGAACTGGAAGAGAGTTGAATTAAGGAACTGTACTTTTTGAACAAAGAGAACAAGTCTAAGCTTGGCTATCATCAATGCCTAAGATACCTGTGTAGCTCTGGGAGAGGAAGCTGGACCAAAAATGGAAGCACTGCTAAACACATTTCAACAGTGCTTGGAGAACAGCGCCCAGCACCTCACTCAGATTGATGGTACCCAGCTCATTAAGTCAGTTGCTCAAGTCTAGAACTTCTTCACAGGGTGAATGCTTTTGACAGCCTCCGTTTGGCTTTCCTTCTGGAAAAAAAGGGGTGTTCCACATTCCCTCCTATTACCTGGGCTCTGTGTAAGTAAAATTTGGGCTCAGAGAACGATTCTTAACCTTGCCAGTGACTACGGTCAGAAATACACAACGATAATCTTTGCATTGACCTGTTAAGAAACTACTCTGTCCCTGGAGAAAAATTAATTTTGAAAGTAGTTTAAAAAGTGTTAGGATTGGACAATAGACAACGCTTTTTCACGCATAATTTTGTTTTGGAGAATAAACAGCCCGAAAGATATACCATCTTGCCGAGTACCCAGATATTCCCTATCGCGTCATCAACTGTTTTCATTTTCAACCCAAGTACTAGAAATACATGCATAAAATAAGGGTGGAAAAGGGACCTTCCCTAGAGGCTCAAAGACGAGAGGCCCCGCCCCCTGACTTTTTCAGTCCAGCGCAGCTTCCAGAAACTTTTGCGGGGGTTTGGAATTGATTTCGGACGTTATCTATTGGGAAGATGGGAAACTTTGCCAGGGACCTTGTCCTCCTGGGAGGCTCTCAGCTGTCCTGCTTCTGGTTTGCGGAGAGTTGGAGAACCCGCCGCCGAGGGAAGGGGGCGGGGCCAGGCGAGGGGGCGGGGCTGGGAGAGCCGACTGGAGTAGGTGGGGCGCTGGGCGGGGCCGGGCCGGGCAGTGGCGCGGGCCGGGGGCGGGGCCTGCGGGGAGCGGGCCGCGGGCTGCGCGGGTGCAGTGCGGCGGCCGCAGAGCCGTGGGCTGACTGGCTGTGGGCCGCGGGCCCGCAGCGGCGCGGAGAGCAGGCTGCAAGACCTGCGCGGGGTCATGGCTGCCTGTCCCGGCCCCGCCGGTACTGGAGCAGTCCACGCCGCCGGCCCGTCAGGCTTCGCCTTCGACTCAGAACTCGAGATCAAAACTCGGTCGGTGGAGCAGACGCTGCTCCCGCTGGTTTCTCAGGTAAAGCGGCGCCCGGAGCGGTCCCTCTTCTCCCTCCCGCGCGGTCCGCGATGGCGGCGGCAGCTCGCGCGACCCGGGCGGACCAGGCGGGGCGGGAGGCAGCCGCTGCCCCACATTCCGCGCGCGCGCTGCGGCCGGGGTCCACCGCCTGAGTGGGCTCGCGGGCTGGCCGAGGCCGTGACGGCCCGAGACTCGACGCCCCCGAGTCCGGCGGCCCGGCACAGCGCGCTGAGCAGCGAGGCTGCGGGACCGCGGTGCGGAGCCTGGCAGGTGCCGCCCCGCCTGTGCCCCGGGGCCCGCCTCGCGGTTGCGGCCCCGCGGGCCCTCGGCCCAGCCCGCGGGTAGAGAGGACCACCGCGGGGCCCCCTGCACCCTAGGACCTGGTTAGTGGCCGTTGCGCGGCCAGTTGCGGTGGTCAGCTTGCATGCCGGACCACAGCCCCGGAGGTTTGCTGGAAATAGGTCCTTCCTACCAGCCTCCCAGTCCAGCGTGCTCTCCAGAGGCCTTTGTCCCCTTCCCCTGCCGTGTGTGGGCTCGCCCAGCCCCATCCCCTCGACATGTCTGCCCACTTCTGCCTGCGTTTGTCCGGCGTGTTGGAAGGGTGACGGGAAGGACTGCCTCAGAGTTAATCCGGACGCACACCTCTGGGCCAAATCCCACTGAAGGATGCGTTGTTGTATTTGTCCGTCCTAACTGAAGTCCGGAATCAGCTAGCTGGTGCACTTAGTGTTAGAGATTTTGTAACTCTGAGCTGAGGTATACATAGCCCGAGGGCTAGAATTCCTCACTTAGATCTGAGGTACTGTGCCAAGCACTGTGGGGACTGAAGAATTATGTGCCTTCTTAAGCAGCGCATTGATGATGCGTGACTCATACCTAGATTGTAACATCTTGGTGACTCATACAGGATTATCAAGATTTTAAAGAAAGAAGAAATATTAAATTATCCAACTCTGCATTTAAAAAAAAAAATTCTCTTTTACAGCATCCTTGACACCTGGCCACCAGTATTCCCTGATTAACCATGTTCAGTGATGGGGAGACTGAAGCTGTTTGTAGAATTTTAAATGCTCCCTTTCTCCATCCCAGCCTTGTAAACATTTGAAAACAGCAGTCTTCCTTGTCCCTAAATTCTTGTTATGCTGATTATTTAAATATGCAGCCCATTTTCTCCACCTGTTTCACATGGCTAATGGAGCAGTGACCCTCCCTGGGCCTCCTCTCCTTCCTGTCTGATGGAGGCACTGACCAGTGGGATGAAGTGCTGGGATCCCTTAGTAGTGTCTGCTACTTTCTGTCCTTAGTAGTGTTTGTATCTTTCCTTCCCCTAAAACACCACTACCACCACCACCAGGACAATCATCAACCGAAGTGAGAAACACTGAAACAGTTTTAAGAGACAGGAGAGCAATGGAGTTTATACTATGTTATTCATTTATTTAATAATATTATATGCTAGGCTATGGTGTAAGCACTTTGGAATTAGAACATTCATTCTTAGAACAATTCTGTGAGGTAGATAAATATATATTTTCATGATACCGAGAAGGAAATTAAAGAAGAGCAAAATCAAGTAACTTGTCATTAGGACTGTCAACTCCCAAGTGCTACAGTGAGGTTTGCACCCAGGCAGCATCACTCCAGAGCTGTGTGTTTAGCTACTACTGTATGCTGTGTCCCCTCTAGAGAGTGGAAGCAGTGATGAAGTCACCTGTCATGTACAGAGAAGAGTCAACAGTGGAAAAAAACAATGGGGGCAGGTTATTATCTGTAGAAATGATAACTTTTTATAGTATCACTTTTAAAAACCTGAGTCCTAGGAGATACATTGTATAATTCTGGGGTGAAAGGGTGGGGAGAAAGAGGAGGAAAAGTGAATGGCAGCTGAGAGTTAATTAGAGGTCAGTGCCACAGAGGAAAAATACCTGTTTTTTTTTACCTCCTCCTGTCAAAGTCAGGGCAATGGCTTAGTTTCTGCATCCCACACATTATGCACAGCTGTTTCTCTGTCGCAATACTGTAACTGATATTCCTAATAATTGTCCTCAATAAGAAAAAATTGTTTCACTTAATATAAAAAAAAAATATATGAAGCATGGGTAGAAAACTCTGTAAACAAGGTGAGTAGGAAAGTGTGAAGTATAATTTAGAACAGTTTGATAGTTTCAGTGAGTGTTAGGAGATTAAAACTTCAGTTCTCTGAAAAACATATCTAGAAGTTTTATATTTCTAAGGATGTTGCATTATTATCTATTTTTTAAAATATCTCATTCACACAAGGATATTGTAAGTACTTGTTTTTTTTTCTTTTAAAATTGGGTACCAGGGGCTGAACTCAGGGGCATTTGATTACTGAGCCACATTCCCAGTCCTATTTTGTATTTAGAGACAGGGGTCTCACTGAGTTGCTTAGCACCTTGATTTTGCTGAGGCTGGCTTTGAACTCAAGATTCTCCTGCCTTAGCCTCTCGGGCTCCTGGGATTTCAGGCATGCACCACTATGCCGGGCTATTTTAAGTAATTGTAAGCAAGGATTTATTATGTGCTTACTTACTAGTTGCTGCTCTTTAAGGGCATATATTTTAGTTGGTAAATAGGATATGTATAGACTATCCCATTCCAAGTATCAAATGAACATCATCAAACGCTAAGTGCTCTGAGAACTTAGACAAGGCACAGATATCTGGGAGTGATGGTGCACACCAATAATCCCAGATACCTGCAGGGGTGGAGTGGTGGCTGAGGCAGGAGGATCAAAAGTTCCAGACCAGTCTAGGCAACTTAGCCAGACCCTGTCTCAAAAGAAAAAATAGAAAGCCATGGATGTATCAGGAACGATGCTTTGGAAGAGACAAGATCTTGGGGTAAATAAATATTATTAGCACTGTACAGTTTAATAGAGAGTTTCTATTTTGGTTTTGTCTTACTGTTTTGACTCTCTTAGTTATAGGTCTTATTCTAGAAATGCAAGATGGTATCAGTATTAGAAAAATGTGTACAATTTCTGTCTTAACAGACTAGAAAAAAATATGTTCCTAACAATATTCAGACAAAGCATTTAGTTATATGCAGCTTCTAATCATGATCAAGAATACCTAACAAGCTTTAGTAGAAAAAAAACAAAACGTTTCTTTCACCTAACAGAGCATCTACAGAAAAGTTACAGTAATATAGCAACAATCAGATTTAAAACAAACATTTCTATTAAAACTGTAATCAACTATTGACTAGCACACTGTACTTGAAACCCTAGCTGGTACAATAAGACAAGGAGAAGAAATAAAAGGTATAGAGATAGGAAAGGAAAAATAAAAAATGTCATTGTGATATTATTATCTACATAGAAAGCTTAAAAGAGGCTATGAATAAATGATAAAAATTAGAAATGTTCAGCAACTTCACAGAATATGGAGTACTATAATCAATTTTATTCCTCTACATTAGTAATTAACAGAAAAATACTTCTAAAGCCAGATATAGTAACAACAGAACAAAATATGAGGTTCCTAGGGGAAGAATGTGTATCTCAAAAGAGTGATATCAAACTTCATGGAGAAAATTTAAAACTTTTATCAAAAGCCAAAGTAGAGTTAAATAAATGAGAGAAAAATACTGTATTCATGACTAGGTTGACATGAAGTTATAGACATATTTCAGTTTCCTTCACTGACCTACAAATTTAATGCAATCCCAATGAAAAATTTATTAGGATTTTTGGGTAGAATTTGATTAAAACAGTTCTAAAATTTTACATGAGATAACAAAGGACCAAGAATAGTGAGAATGGAAATAAGTTGGGTGGACTTGCTGTAGCAGATTTCAAGACATTATAAAGCTATAATGTGAAAATAGGAACAAAGAGGACAAACTAGAAAAAAACTATAGTAGAGATACCTGGAACAGATCTCGACCTGCATGGAGACTTGGTAAATGACAGTTTTTGCTCAGCGAGGAAAGGAAGAACTGTAAAAAATGAGATTGTGATAATTTATCTAAATAGAAATACATGAAATTAGGTCTCTGTCTTGCACTATGTTAAAAAAAAATTCTAAGAAACAAGAAAGAAAAAGCAAAAAAAAAAAAAAAAAAAAAACCAAAAAACCAAGTATATAAATAGGAAAGTAAAGACTTATAAAACAGAAAAATAGGGCAATATCATTATTATGTTATCATGGGAAAGGATTTCTTACTATACCAAAAGTACAAACTAAGAGAAGATTAATTAATTTGATTCCTTTAAAATGAAGAACCTCTGTTTATCAAAAGACATTATAAGCCAGGTATAATCATTATACGCCACTTGTGTAATCCTAGCTATTTGGGAGTCTCAGGTGGGAGGATTGCAAGTTTGAGGCCAGTCTGGGCAACTGAATTAGAGAGACCTGTCTTAAAAATAAAACATAAAAAGGGTGAGGGACAAGGCTTAGTGGTAGAGTGCTTGCCTAACATGTCTGAAGCCCTGGGTTTAATCCCCGTAACTCAAAAATGAAAACTTAGAGATGTTATGAAAGTGAAAAGATAAGCCATAAAGTGGGAAAATATGATTGCAACACAGATAGCCAAGAAATGATTAGTAGTCCAGAATAAAATACTCCAATGAAGCAAAAATAAAAAGATTAGATGTTGAAAGCTGTTAAAAGCAATAGTTTTCTTACAGAAGAGGAAACAAATGGATAAAAGATATTTACAAAGAAGTTCAAATTCATTAGAAATATGAACCACAATGAGAACAAGTGTTGGTGGGGAAAGTGGAGATGGTGGAAACGTTAATGTCAGAACCATTTTGGAAAACATTTTGGTGTAATCTATTAAAATTGAAGGTGGAGGTTGAGGATGTAGCTTGGTGGGCTTGGTGTGCTTAGCATGGGTAAGGTCCTGGGTTTGACTCCCAGCACTATAAAAAAATAAACCAAAAATAAATGTAAACTTAATATAAAAGTTGGTGTTACCAATGGCCCAGTAACTCCACTTCCAAGTCTTTACCTCCAGAGAAACCCCTG